AAGCAGGGCTACCTTCTCCATTTAGAACCAACTTGTATTTGTTTTGAGTGGAAATGTTATGGGTTTTAACTTCACATGAGGTGAGATCATGGCTGGCCTCAGAATAGTATTTGTGATGGTGGCCTCTGCCTTCCCTGAAGACCAAATCAGCAGCAACCCTGCCTTCATCCAGAAATGCAGTGAAGGTTGGAATAGTTCAAGGAGCTTTTGAAAGCTGAGATTACCAACTGCACGTGGATTTGTTCTTTACTTAGAAAATAGAAATTCAATCCACAAGTAGTGCTTAGTGATTGTGTTTGTGAAAAAGATCTTGAAATAATAATTGATATCAAACTGAATATCAGTAAGTAGTGTGATATGGCTGCAAAGAAGAGAAATAAAATTTTAGATTGTATGAACAGAAGTATATTTCCATGAATTCAGTTTAAAAGAAGGCAACTGTGTGTTGGGAAAAATCACTTTGTGACAGTAAGAGAAATTTAACAGTGGAACCAATTACTGAGAGTTGGGGACAGGGAGTTACTAATGATAGTTGCAAAAAAAGGGGGGAGATGTTTCTCATTGAATTACAGTCACCATAGTTCATATGGTAGCACTATGAGCAGGGTAGCAATATATTCCAGATGTACAAATTAAAAAGGCAGAAGCTTTACACCATATAAAAGCAACCACTTGCCACACACAGCACATTCTTTGCTAAGTATTTATGAGTAATGTATTTATAGCACACTTTAAAGGATGTATTTTCAGAATGAGTTGACTGTATATTTTTTTTGTCCACCAGACAAACAGAACAGGTTTTCTCCAGGACCTCTTGACCAGCAATTGCCTATGCCACTATATACAACAGGAGGAAAAGCTCAATTTTTCAGAGCACAGAGATACAGATGTTACATTACATCACAAAACAATATCTAGCTAGCTATATTGGAGAATTTGGTGAAACCAATCACATAATACCTGCCTCCTAGTGGTCTATGCATAAATTCAATCAAAAGCATTTTCACTTAAAAGCGTAAGATAGTGGATGATAAGAAATATATTTGCCAGAAACCAGCAGAGCTACCACGGACATTTAGAATTCTTAGTTCTGGTTGAGATGAACTCTGAGATAAGAGTTACCATGCGGCAAGATGGGCAGCTAATATACTTTAGAAATAAATAAATAATTTGAATATAGCTGAATTGGGTTTGTTCTGATAAGGCACCAGTTGATTGGTCAATACAAATGTAGCCTTGCTGAAATATCCTGTTTCCAGTCTGAGAGCAAAAAGGACCCTTGGAGAAATGTTATGAATATAAACTAGGATGGGATTTCTTTTCCAATAGAATTCAAAAGAGTGAAAGATATATATATATATATATATATATATATATATATATATATATATATATATATATATATAAACCATAGTTGTCTTTGAGAAAGAAATATCAGAATGCATTAACACAAAATCATTGTATCAGCCATGCGAAGCAGTCCTGACCAGAAGCACATCTAGAAGAACTAGTTCTATTTTATTAAGGTTAAGATTACATTACCTACAGGTCTACTGGTTATATTAACAGAATTTTGCAAGTTTGAGAGTACATCTCTCTCCTGTCACCTTTACAGCCCAAGAAATTAAGAAGGGTCCCTTCTGAGATGTTTCCCATATCCACTTTAGTGCTATGAGTTAAACTGCCTTTTACCAGACTGTTCCCGACTGCAGTTCTCGTCTCTCAAGGTTATTCTCTTATATCATTACATACCGTGACATAAAAGACTCTAATAAATACAATTTTCTATCTCCTCCAGATAGAGAGGTTTACAAAATCTCTAGATTATATTCCAAAATGGTGCATAAAATCAACAGATGTTCTGGAAAGCTGTGTTTAAAATATATGTCAGGTCTCAATATATATAAAGTGGGATTTCTATAAGTTGTATAGAAATACTTTTAAACTACAAGGAAAAAAGACACACAACATCCCTATGAAAACAGCTGCAAATAATTCAATGGGAGACTTGTCAGAATAAAATGTGAATATATGTGGCACTGCATGGGCCAAGTTTCCAAGTACATTGTATGTGGTACTGAAATGGAACCAGACATATTATACCGACTATGGGAACAGGCAGGAAATTAAGGAACAAATATGTGAAGATCACAGTGAATCCACCTTAATGTGCTGTTTTGCCTCACCAAGATGCATCATTGCTTTGATGTGATAACAAAAGTGAGACACTCTGCTTCCTCCAAGCAGCAAGTCAAGGTCAATCTCACATGATCTGCTGCTTCATTCTGGTAGAAGTAGCTTCTGAGCATGGACTGTTTTATATGTTTGGAAATTTTCAGAAAGTATGTACTGTACTTTGAAATAAATCTCTTTTTTATTGGAATTTATGTCTAAATCTGAACTGTTTAATTTTATATTCATACAAAAAAGAAAATGTAATCCTGTAAATTACTGCATCTTAAATTTCTTCTATTTTGCTTTATAATGTCCAGATAGTGTTGCTGGCTAGGGATACTGGAAACATATTGGGGACTTGCTTGTTTTTGTCTAAAAGATATTACAAAATTACATCTTAGCATGGAAATAAGGCCTTCCATTGTCTTTGCTTAAAGCTTTTACCATCTTTAATAAATCTCTATTTGGAATGGGGAAGAATCTCTTGACTGAACAAAGTTCCTGGTCACATTCAAGCAGGAGAGAAGGATATATTTCTCAGGCAAGATTTTTTTTTTTCTGCAAGAAGCTGATCGTAAATGAAATGGATGATTCTGTTAGAGACACTAAGCTCTCGTGAACATGAGATGTGGGACATCAAGGCACTTCATGAAGTCACTTTGGAAAGGTGCTTCACTTAGAGCACTGCTGAAGTGAAGCTCTACTTCATTTGGATTTGCTTTTGTAAGAGATAAAGTTCTCCAGGCATGTCTTCAGCTGATGATATTGTTTTTAGTACTGGAACCACAGGCCAAAGCCTCTTTTTCCCAAGCTTTCTGTATCTTAATAATCTAATTTAGGAAGGGGAAATGCATTTTATTTTTATTATTATTAAACCAATGGAATCCTTGTTGGAATCTATCAACCTCATGCCTGCCAGTAGTCTAACCTTTACAAGGAATTATTTTTTTAATGAAAAATTAACACAAAAAGATGAGATTAAAATACTTCAGCTTTAACAATTATCCTTTAGTGCACTGTTGAAAAATTATATATATATATATTTAAAAAACTATTCTAATTCATTCTTATCAGGGAAAAATACTTTCAATATAGAAAAGAGAAGAAAGTTTCAGAAAAATCCTGATGGTTGGAGTGCAGGATAATTGTGTTTACTGGAATAATACAATTACTAGGAGGGGGTAACCTTGATTTTTTTGGCCATCTGGAGAGATGGGCTGAAGCTACCCTGGCTCCCCCCTTCAGCTATATTTTATGGAAGTCAATATGAAGGAACTTTTCTGGGGTCTTTTCAGAATATCAATGATGGACAACCACAAAGAGTCATGAAGAACAGATAGTAGAAAAGTTACATCCATAAAAACAATATTCCCCATTCACCAGACAGTATTACTGGATATAAAAGGATAGTCAGGTTTTTTAATTTCCTTTCTCAGATGGATGAACCAAATGTTTTATAGCTTAGAAGCAGTGGTGGGATTCAAATATATGAACTACTGGTTCTCTGTGTGAATGCCACTTGTGGAAGTCCATTCTGGGCCTGGGCAGCAAAAAATTAGCTACCGGTTCTGCCGAACTGGTACAAACTGCCTGAATCCCACCACTGCTTAGAAGGGATACTAACCTTCCATTCTTCCTGTTCCTAAGAGCTGCCCTGCATTCAGCCAAAGAAGAAATAAAGCTATTGGAAGAGAATCACGATTGTGGATGACCCAGCAATTAAATAACTCTCCATTTCCCAAGCATTTTCTCTAAATGTTTATTTCGGGTGGGGAGCACTAGCTCTGGTCTTTGCATGTAGACTTGTTTGGTTTTAAAAGCTTCCCCAAATGGATCAAATTAGCCATTTCAGAGAGCTGGTTATAGTTTTGACATAGCTTACAGATACAATGGACAGTAGCCATCATTGCCTTTCATTTAATATTGCTATGATAACATGGAAAAGAAAATTATGTACACAACCAAGAGCTCTTGGAAAGAAGGAAAGGATTGAAAATAAAATGCAACTGATTACATATAGTAACTGGGAGCTGCGCATATCTAAGATGTGTGTGTCTCTGTCAGATTTTAGATATATCAGAAGTTACTGTGATGAGCCTATTTCATATTTTCTGATCTAAATAATTGGCATACATCTCCATATCTGAATAGCACCTTTATGAGAGTGTGGTTGAAATAAAAGACTTGACAATTTGAACTGATTATTTCTTCTCCAATAATTTGCCTTTTCCTAAGTTCTTGGCCTGCCTCTTTATAACTTCATATCAAGATATTATATCATGATATAATTATATTATATCTATCATTTACCTGCAAGTCACAAGGAAACTCCATTAAGGACCAAGTCAAAGTACACATCTAAGCCACACCTGCTGAAAACCTCCTTTCTGTATCACCAGAATGGAGATGAATGAAAACACATAAAGAATTGTATCAGATAAGTCTTCCTGGCCCTTTAGTTCTTTTTCACTTTTGCTAAGGTTTATTTATCTTTCCATCAATCATTAAGTTCAAATAGTGATGATGTGTTATAAAGTGAAACAAATATCCATGATAAAACATGAAAAATAATGAAATGATATAACAGCTGGAACTGTTTCCCTTTATAGCAGCTGGAATTGTTTCCTTGGCTGGAATTAAGGAAGCAAAACAACAACATCCAACAAGAAAGTTGGACAAACTTATATTCTATCTAGTTGTCTCATTTCTTCTTGGCACTTTGTTTAAGCTGATGAAATTCCTCTGAGACAGTTCTCTCAGGAATCCTACACATAGAAAGGCAACACAGAAGTTCCCTATCTCTTTTATGGTAAGAGAAGACTTACCATAATTATCCATCCTGAAGATGTCCCAAGGGCAAGGCAGCAGTTCCTCCAATTTCTCTTCTCTTTCTTTCTTCAAGCTTAAGGTGATTTGAACAGAATAATAACTAAACTAAGTGACTCCACCCTTTGTTTCTGGTTCCTCCTTGAGGGTTAAGATAGACAGAGGAAGCTATTTACTCATAATTCAGAACTGTGCACAAGTAGTTTGGTTCTTTCCTGGAAAAAAAATACAAACCCACAGCACTGTTGCTCACATTGCAATGAATGTCTTTGTTAAGAGGAGTCTTGAATCACAGAAATATATTCCTCTCTTAGAAGTGATTCCCACTGTGTTCAACATGCTCATTTGTAAGTGTAAACCATTCTATAGTTAAATCTGTCATGCTCAGGAAAACAATGGTAGCAAAATATGAAAAACATCAAATAGTGTGACAATTAAGGAGACTTTTTTGTATTGCTAATTAGACTAAAAACTAACTGTTTTAGATTTTGGGCTCCTTCCAGGAAGTCAGAACTAGAAATAAAAGGATGTATTTATGAATGCTGGTTCTTTTTGTCAGTTAAAAAGAATCTGGGGCTTTTATGTATAACTTATTTCTGTTTCTTCAGCATGGGCATACTTTTTTTAATCCCGTGTAGCTCATTAAAATTCAGTTGTGATAAAATTGTACTGATCTCATCTCTGCTTCCCCCACTTTGGCTTATATTTGGAGCCACAACTCTGTGTGGCTGTTGTTTTATAATCCCTTTATTCCTCATTCAATGCAAGTCAAATGCATTGGACATTTGCATACTTTGTACATCTCTCTAGTGAAAAGAATTTCAGCTTCACAAATCCATAAGAAAGGAGCGACAGACAGTTCTGACATGTTGACAAATATAAGTGTGTGTATGAAACTGCATGCTACATCTGGCTTCCTTAACAGACCAATGTTGATACAGAAACAGAAGACTGTACTGTTTAATTGCATACTGTATCTGACATTTCCTCTTCTTTGCACAACTGTGAAGGGAACAAAAGCTCCAATTTTGCATCCGGCTCCCTATAGCTGATTCAATGCACCCCTTCCACATTTTTCATTTCATCTTACAGGAGTGTTGTTTAAAGGCCAGTTAAAAGGAGACAGCAGATCAAGAATACTTCTGCTTCTTTTTCACATCTTCCTCAATCAACAAGGGTAAAATAGGAAATGCTCAAAAGGCAGCACCACCCTTTATTTCATTTCTTCTGCTTAGAATAATCCAGAGAAGCTGCACCACCAGCTGGAAAGAAAAAAGAAATGCAATGATTACAATTCAAAGAAACCAAGTTCCTAAATTTTCCATCTTAGGATATTGTGGCAATGATTAGGAGGACAATATGTAATAATATGTATTGGATTAACAACAACAACAACAGTAATAGTAATAATAAGTCATTATTTTGAATTATGCATGTAGTGAGTGCATCTCAAGAAGACCTGTGTGTCTCACTTTTGTCTGAATTGATGAGGATATGGACAAGATGGTAGGCCTTCTCTGGGGCCACTACCACACTCTCAAATCCTCAAATTCCAGAGATCCATAAATTTCCTTCCACCTTGGTTTTCAGGAGTTTTGCCAAACAGGCTTTCAACAGGTTTTCAATGCTAGGTTTTTTTGTCTTTCATCTTGGGAAGGAAGGAAGGAAGGAAGGAAGGAAGGAAGGAAGGAAGGAAGGAAGGAAGGAAGGAAGGAAGGAAGGAAGGAAGGAAGGAAAAAAGAAATTATTATATAGCACAAAGATGTACTTGTAGAAAGAAAATAGGAAACCTTTTGATGCATAATTTTTTTTTTGCATTTTCTGTTTAATGTATAACATTACATTTTACTTTTTACCTTTAAATCAGAAATGTAGTGATCAATTTTGAAAATAATGTTCCTGTCACCAAGAAGACACTATAATCAAGCTTCATGAACATTTATTTTTAATTCCTGTTGTTTATACACAAAGAAGAAATGACCATTTTGGTTAAAAAGAAAAAGAAAATCAGGAATCTGTTAGTACCTTTTCAGATTTACAGATCTTATTAAAGGCATAAGTTGTCATTAACTATGTGAAATTCTGATTTTGACATCTGTAGATTAACAACAGTTCTCTTACAATTTCCTGAATGGTTAAAAAAACAAAGACATTCAAACAAATTGAACAAGCAAACTGCTAATAAAATAACACCATTAAATTTATGGAGCATGACAACAATTCTGCACATGGATACCTGGAAAGAAGCAGCATTTAACTCTCTGGGGCTTACGTTTGACTACAGAAATGTTTAACTTGTAAAACGGTGAGTTTTAACAAAAGATCTCAAACGTAACTTTTAGCTTTTAATTAAAAATGCAAGCAATCTTAAATAACTCTTATAAATAAAGCAAAACCAGTTATGTTGAGGGAGAAAAAAAGACAATGCCTTTATTAAGCCAGTACTTTGCCACTTAGCTTTTCATTAAAAAATGCAAGCAATCATTTAAATAATTTATAGGTGAAGCAAGAACAGTTATGATGGAGAAAAAAAATGACAATAACTTTATTAACCCAACACTTTGTCACTGTCATGCAAATTGCTGAACATAGAGGCACAGAGAGTCAAAAGTGTGTAGCATGGGAGAGGAGAATATATGATGTCTATGAATCTCAACTGATAAATGAAGAGAACTTATCAAAGCTGAGGAAAAAGTAGACAACCTCTACTTTAGTATTTTTTTTGTTCACTGATTATTTTAATGGTAATATCACAAATTGTGATGAAATGAGTGATATTAGCCCCTCTTCTTTTGGCAAAGCACAGAATACTCATGAATTCTGCTGGTGATCCACCAGATGATAGTATCATACTCATCTTAAGAAAAAGTGTGCAGTTCTGTTTAACTGCCTTCCCACCGGTTATTTTTTAAAAGCAAAGAAATTCTAATCATTTAAAATGTCTAAGAATATAGAAAATTATTTCACAAGTGCAGTGCCCCCACAACTGCTTTTAGCAATTTGAATTTTCAGTCCCAGTAGATTGGAGTCTAGATGGAGCAAGACTCCCTTTTCAGAGCTTGGAGTTTGCCAAGAATTTACACACTGACATGGAGCACAGAAACAGCAAAATATGTAATTTACCACTATCTTCTGTAGACTGTGAAAGAAAAAAAAATTCTTTGCCTTTTTCCTGGCAATAACATTTAATTTCAACCTTGATCCATAGCAGTCAGTAGGCCAGAAAAAGGGCTGAAGTGGTGTCTGTTTGATAAAAGAGCTAAATAATAGCTAAAATGTGTTGTCTGCTGAGGATAGACGGAAAGAAAGATTGCAAGACAGAAATTTTTAGAGGGTAAGAGAACTGCAGACTGAAGCATAAGTCATGGAACAGGAAGACAGATTGAGGGTAATTTAGCAATTTCCTCTTCTGCTGTATAATAATTGTTTTGTTGTTACAATATCCTCTTCTGAAAGGTGAAGAATAGAGCAAAAAGCAGTGTCACTCTCAGACCATCTAAAGATGCAATTCCTTTGCCCTTCTACAGTGGCAAAATTATCTCCATTGTAGTTCTGTAGCCAACACATGATCAGCTGCAGTTTTCTTCCATAATTCCTTGGTATAATAAGAGGAAACTGGAATAATTAATCATGTGATAATTTGATGTTAGCAAGGCAGATTCATGGCTAATGAAAGCAGTTATTTAAATGATCAAATGATATAGCTTCAATTATCATATTAATAATTCATTCTCCTAGTTAATATACCCATTTGCCTTTGATGGAATATAGTTCAGGCAGAGGTATATCATCTTTTCTCGGGTGTTCTGCATGATCTAGTCATGCAAACAAGGGCATGTACAGCTACTAAAGAGAGGGGAACTATGAAATTCTCTCTGGGGAAATGGGTGGGAAGATAACACAAAAAGGAAGAAGCTGGGTAAAACTGCAGCAATTCAGTGGCTTTCCTTGGTATAATTCTTCACTCACAATCACATCTCTAACAAAGAGAAATGGCAAGGGGTACTCCTGCTAACTCGGTAGACAACTTAGTTCTGTAAAATTTTGAAATTTTGGCAGTGGGGGGGAATGACTTAAAAAAATTATTAATTTCTGGTAACTGCCTGGACGAATTCCTGCAGTGTTCGGAAGTGTTTGCTATTGACTTCTTCCTAGACCTAAGAGAGAATGACTTATCCAAAGTCACCCAACTGGCCTCATGCTGAAAGTGGGACTAGAATTCACGATCTCCCAATTTCTAGTCTGATGCCTTAGTTATTATAACAAACTGGCTTTCTAAAGTTTTGAATTACAACATTTACAATTTATTGCAATCTACCATGTTGGATGGGTCTGATAGGAAGTGAAATTCCAAAATTGAAAAAATATCTATATCTATAATCTATATCAGTGGTGGTGAACCTATGGCACGGGTGCCAGAGGCGGCACTCAGAGCCCTCTCTGTGGGCACATGCATGGTCGCCCCAGTCCTAGGCCTTCAGCTGGGTTTTATAAAACATTTTTGCTTTAGGCCTCCGCCGCCGTGTACAAAAAAAAAGGTTCAATCAATCAGTCAATTTCAACTTCTCGCAGGAAAAAAAAGATCTTGCAAAGTTGGAATTGATTGATTGAACTTTTTAGTCCCACCCAGTCTGCCATTACTACCACAGCCACGCCCACCCAATGGGCCACACCCACCCAGTGGGCCACACCCAGCACTCAACAATGCATAAGTGGGTTTTGGGTTGCACTTTGGACACTCAGTCTCTAAAAGGTTCGCCATCACTGATCTATATCTATGTATATCATTTTTGCATACAAGGCCATAGTTAGTCTTCAGTGGTCTCCTAAAGACCATGATCCTTCTCTCCACAGCTGGTTAAAAAACAAGGTATGAAAGGGAAATGTGGACTCTGTTTTCTATGGCACATAAAAGATCAGATACTATATAGCATATGGCTTTTTTCCTCTCTATCTCTCTTACTAAATTTTATCGGAAGCAGCTTCTGTGGACAAATAAGATATTATGTTTGGTTAATTGACAATAATTGCCATGCTAAAAGAAAAGGTTGTGGATATTATTCAGCCTCTTATGAGCATTTTACATAAAAAGAATAAAAGGAACTTGTGACTTATGGTTTTGATTAATAGACAGATTATAGAAAGAGGAATCATATGATATAACTTTAGACAGTTTGGAATATATTTGCATTATGACTGCATCACTTTGTAACTTCTGTGAAGAATATTGAAAGATACTTTTTTATACTGTACTTTCTTTTCTATTAATTTTTTTCTTTGCTTGCCCTTTTCTTTTTTCTTTAATTTCTTTCTTTTGCTTTCTTTATACTAGTTTGTATTAACTTTTATCTTGTTTAAAAAAATGTATTAAAAGTTATCTACATATAAAAATGGAAAGGTTGTCAATATTATTCTAAATCCTACATATTGTACACAAGAAAAGGCTAGAATGTGTGAGACACAATAGCTAAGAAAAAAGACAACTTATACAAGATATGATTGAAGTCTATAAATTCATGTGTGGCTTGCGGATGGTGGGCAGGAATTTGTTTTTCCATTCTGTCCAAATACCAGAGGGCATCCTATAAAAACTTAAGCAGTGCCTACTGGATGAGATGCCTGGCCCATCTAGTCCAGCAGTCTGTTCTCACAGTGACCAACCAACTGCCAAAAGAAGCCCACTACTCTCCCTGAAGGTAGCCTTCCAAGGCAGTCATGATCCCCATGACTGCCATGGATTAGTCCAACCCTTTCTATGGAGCCACCCAAGCCTTTAACCAGCACTACATCTTGTGGCAATGAAAATGACTGATGCAAAAGATTGAATTCATTGCCCAGGGAGTGGCTGTCTCAGCCATCCTATCACCCACATTGAGCCATTCAGGGTATGAGTATCATTCAAGAGAAGTATCAATTGGGAGAACAATATTTGGCTTCAGAGAAGGACTTTGATGAAACATTACACAGGAAATTTGGGAGAAGAACCTAACCCACTCATAAATAAGTCTGATTTAAATAGCCCAGCTCTCTACAGTTTTGTAACAGCAACTAAATAAGCATCCACAAATATCATCTGCTCTTATTCTGAATCTGTGATTCAATAGTACACTCAGCACACCTGACACCATTTTTAGATCTGCCTTCCCCATCACCAAGAACCAGTTTGGTGTAGTGGTTAAAGCAGGGGTGTCAAACTCTCGACGTCACATGACGTGTCTTGATGTATCATGACTTTTTTTCCATTGCTGGCAATGGGGTGGGCGCAGTTTCGGCATGATGCATCCAGACCATGGGCCGACAGTTTGACACCCCTGGGTTAAAGGCAGCAGATTAGAAACCAAGAGATTGTGAGTTGGCCAGCCATTGTCTTTCAGCCCTAGGAAGAAGAAACTGGCAAGCCATTTCTGAAAAATGCTGCCAAATAAACTATACGAGGCAGTCAACATGACTCAAAACTGACTTGAAGATGCGGTTACTTTCCTCTGTTTCTGCCATGCTACTCACCTCTAAAAAGATGATCAACATCCAATGCTGCACCTGCTTCCTTATTGTCTTCAGAAGCATTTCCCTTATTAGCTGCACCTGCACTGCCTGCCACACACCACACTCCCTGACACACCACTGCTGTGATCTATTCTGCTTCAAGTAGCTACTGTATATTTTGGGTAACAGTTTACTTTATTTCATCAATTGCACCATTCCTCCTCTACTAACATGTCATCAGACCAGACTGAAGTTTGGATATCCATAACTCAGAAGAAGCTACCCTATGTAACACAAAGAGTCCAATCTTCTCTTACCAGAATGAAATGTCATAGCACTTTCATACCTCTCTTTAAGAATTCCCTACCTGAAAAAAGAAAATTAAGTAACAAGTCCAAGAAGACTCACAGCTTTCAGTAGGCGAACCAAAGTGCTATGAAAGACAACAGCAAAATATGAATTTAGCAGAGCCTAAAGGTTAATATAGATCATCAGACTGACTACCTGCTTGAAACAAAGGGTTTATACAAGTAGAGGCATACCTGAGGCTTACTAGCAGCTTTGGGACATGCTGCAAGAGTCATGATATAAACATTGCTTTTAAATATTTCACACTGCAACAAATATATTTGGTTCCAATTCTCAGCCCTTGCTCTAATTCAGTATCTTCAGCTCTTGGACCTCTCCATTTCACAGTTTTTCAGGCCATCTGTCCTGTTTCATCTATAATTTGATAAATTGGATTGCACATCTTTCTTTCAGTGACGTAGGACTTCATATGTTTATTTCTGTATGTGTTTTATTGCTGCCTTCACTCATAGATGTGGCATGTCAAGAGTTAAATGGTTAGTATTGTTGAAGGAAAAGTCTTCATCATGGTTCAGTCCAAGCCGGGAATAAACAAAATGGCGACTGCTTTAGAAAGAAGATCGCAGTTTATTGAAGAGGAGAGCCAGACAGAAAGATGGCTCTGGAAGAAAAGAGAGCGAGCACATGTAGGGAGTGGGTTTTATACCTTCTTGAGCCTTTTGTTTGGAGTTGTTCCTGTGGTATGAACTTTGACCTGAGTCTGAGTGTTCCTTTCTGGTATTCTGATGGTGGTGGGTTAATCCTATTATGCCCGAAAGGTCAATCCTGCTTCCCTGGGGCTGGGGCTGATGACTCTTAGATTTTTGGTGTGAGGAATTGTTGATTCTAGGGATCTTTCTTCCTAATCCCAGCTTCCTGATTCCAATCTTTCTGACAAGATTATCACATCTGCATTTTTGCAGACTTGGCTTCTGTTTGGGACAGTGAGACTTGGGAGCGGGGTTGGTTTCTGCTTTTAAAATTCTTTAGGGAAATATATTCTGCCTTTTAAATATTTTCAAAAATATTTCTTTCTTGGGGGGGGGGCTGACTTCCCACAGCATCTATTGGCAAATATTATAGACATGAATATTATCATGACTTGTAGAGCTGTTCTGCATGCATATCATCACTTGCTTTATACTAGTGATGGTGAATCTTTTAGAGACCAAGTGCCCCCAAACTGGTCCTGCCCCTGCTCCACCCCTTGCCCTGCCCCGCTCTGCCCCCATCCCCTGCCCCGCCTGCCCGCAGGGCCACTCACCGCCTCCAGGACCCGCCACAGATTGCCCAGGCAGCCCAGCAGTGCTATGGCAGTCATGCCCTCTGCCCGCACCCTGCAGCATCAACTGTGCACGATGGGGTGTGAAGGCAGAGTCTTGTCTATGCTGCCTGGCTGCCATGTCCTTGGCTGCACTACTCCAGGTGGGCCACGCTCAGGGGTGACTCTCCTTCAGGGGGGCTGCTGGAGAGGAGGGTGTCACGGGGGGAGGCGAGGCTGGTGCAACAGCACGTGTGCCCACAGAGAGGACTTCGAGTGCTGCCTCTGGCACCTGTGCCATAGGTTTGCCACCACTGCTTTATACATTGTGAGCTAAGGAACCAAGAATTCTGCATGTATGAGATTGATTCAAATGTACAAAAGCATCCAAAACATTTCACAATGTTTTCTGTGAATATCCAAGTTTCTGGAAAAGCAAAAAAAATATTCTTAAACATTACTCCTAAAAGGAAGATAACAAAGTCCTCTGTTAACAATTCTTCAGCAAGGCATCTTCTCTTCAGCTGAAGTAGCTGGAAAGAGAAAAGGCCTTTCTTCTCAAGCCTCTCTCTCTACTTCACCTTCTCCATCTGCTGCTCTGGGTAGTGTATGTTGGGGAGAGGATTCAAAGCAACCTTTCTCCCTACTTCCAAAGTGTGGAGTCACAGATAAGAGGAAATGCTGAGCCATCTGGGTTCTGGAAAAAAGAGTTCTGCTTTCAAACAGCAAGCCTGCTCTTCCCCAGCAAACACTTAAAGCTGCCTGGTAAAGGAAGAGACTAGTGGGAGGGCTGAGAAATATTCTATCTCTTCCGCTTCCTCCCTAACCCACAACCTGCTGTTAATTCAGCTTCAGTTTTGACATATCTATAGAAGACTTTCCACCATCAACATTTGTTGAGCTGCTTCGTTGCTCAAGAGGCTTCCTGAACTCCACAGCACTGCTAGGCCGGAGACATGCAAGCCATCAAATGTGTGGTGGTAGGAGATGGGTATGTATCCTTCATTTGGGGAGCAAGGGAGGGTCTTTTTTTTCCTCAGCTGCCCTTCTGACAAAATGTGTGCAGTCTTCTTCTTTCTTGATCTCCATCTTTCTTTCTTTTTTTTAAAAAAAATTATTTATTCCTTTTTCACTATACAACAAAAATAAAAATAAAAATACATTTTTTTCCTTAACAGTACTGTGTTATGCATCTCATATATATTATTTACAATTAGAGGGAGAGAAAAGAGACCATAGAAAGCAGAGGAGGAATTTTGTTTTCTGGGCAATATGGATGGGAAAGTAATGCTTTTATTTTTCAGAAATATGGCATTTTTTTAAAAAAAAGATTAATTGTGGAATTGCTTATCAAATAAACCATGGCCCCTTTATTTAGGTATTTTAAGGCAGAACCTCCCCAGTCTGCTGCTCTCCAGGTGGGTAATTGGGGTCACAGCTCCCAGAATTTCCATTCATTTGGATCAGGAGCAAAACCAAAGGAAATCTGATTTAATTACAGTAGTTTCATTTTTGGAGTTAAATGTCACAAGCCTGAAATAATGTAACTATCTTTCAAACAATTTAAATTGGAGGTACAGGCCTTATATTTGTGGCTTTCTGCCTAGGTTGTTGTTTACTGTACCAGTGATCTTGGTAACTTTTCATGGCTTTTTTTTTTTTTTTTTTTGGCTTATGAAACTAGTAAAACATTTTTTCTATGCAGCCCTGTAAAACTAAGATGAAGGCAATTTGTTATGAAGCACTCATATCTATTTGGTGTGATCATCATTTCTAGATGTCATCTGTGGATTAGGGGCCAGGCTCAAAAGCAAACTAGTCTCTAAAGAATGCCACCTAATATAACTGCTATTGACTCAGAAGCAGAAAAGGGGGAACCATAAAAGATAAGACTCTTTTTTTAGGATTGCCGTGAGGTTACTTTTAGGATAGAGCTAGAGTCAGTCCCTTTGTCAGCTATAACTCTTTCTCATAGTATCTACTTGATAGAGGAGAGTGGCTATAATTAGATGGCAATGTGATAACTGCACAAGATGCAAGAAATCGGCATGAGAGAGAGAGAGATTTGTAGAGTGATATGATGTGTAATAATGTGCTGAAAGCATTTGTAGTACCAAAAAGCAGCAGTCATAAACTTCACCTTCTTGCTGGTAATATGCTCCTGATGACTCAACATTTCTTTTTCCATGATTTGGAGTCGGCTCAAAAAAAAATTTGGGGTCGCCTACATATAAAGACTGTTCCTATATCTATTAACTGAGATAATAAATTAAATTTAGTTTTGGACTTTCTATTAATTGTGCACTGAATTCCCCCCTTAAGCTTCTTGCATTTTGGAGGGTCTTAAGCACAAATCTGTGAAGAATAGCATTACATTCTGGGGGAGAAGGGCATTTGCCCTGAATGAAATTCAGCCTGTTCCCTTCATCCTTCATTACGTATTTGCCCTGGGCCAGTACAGATAAAGGGACTTTTCTAGCTTCTGCATTTCACCAGTACCTTTTCTTTTGCTGTAAACTCAATGAGGAAGTTTCCTTGAAGTGTTTAACACCTGTGGCTTTAAAAAAGAAGCATTCAGAAGTTGAGGGAGGGGTCATATTTCAATGGCTCAGGTTTGAATTTCTCCAGTTGAAAAGGCTAAGTAGTTAATGGGCTCCTGCAAATGAGAATTAGATCAGCCTTTATAAATCAGATCATCAGCAACTCTGCTCATTCAATACTGCAGGGGTGGGGAACTTTGGCCCTTTTATGACTTATGGATTTCAACTCCCAGAATTCCTGAGCTAGCCATATTTCTAGGAGTTGAAATCCACAAGTCATAAAAGAACCAAGGTTCCCCAATCCTGCTATACTGGTGGGAATATGAGGAATTATATAGCAAATTCAACTGGAAGGCTTCCAATTGGAATTGGCAATACTGGGCTTGATAGCTCAAAGGCCTGGCATGATGGCTGTATTCACAAGAAACACTAAGGCAATCATATGCCAATCTTGTGTGAGCCTATCTATTTACTTAGATAACAATTCACACAATGTGCATCCATAAAATTGGGTTAAATAAATGTACTTTGTGAACACCAAGTTCTGAATGATATTCTGATGATGAAGTCTCACTACCTGACATTGGTGTTGTCCTTTTTGACTTTACACCAACAGCTGATATACTCGGCAACTAGCTATCTTTGTCTAGGAGATGATCCTTGAGCATCACTGGTAAATTCTTGATTGGGCCAAATCTTTTTTGCCTTTTCACTCCCACCCCTCAAGCTACATCATTGTCCATGGAATTTTCCATTGGAGTAGTTTCCCTCAAGTATCAGTCATGGGTCCTATTTTGTTTACCTATTATACCCTTCTCTTGGGTTCCCCAATTCATGGTCAATATCATGCAAATATTATGCCTAACAAACTGTCTCACTAGGTTTTCATGCCTGAATATTCTCCTATTGCCTGAAACAGAGTCTATTTTGTTTTGACCTACAGTAGTTGTCTTTTCCATCCTTTACCATCTTCCTCATTTAATTCCAGAGCTTCAGATTACCTATTTTCTCCATCTGAAACTTTGGAGTCTTGCTTGATAATAATTGACCCATTTAGTAATTGTATAGCATTAACAGAATATTTTCAAACTTGGGACCTATTTCATCAATGCTTAGAGAAAAAATTTAGGGATTAGGAATTTAATTTGTATTAGGGAATAAGATACTCAGACAACACGTTTTTGTTGAATAATTATTATTGAACACTGTTAAAATAATAATAATAAAACTTTTAAAAAATATATAGCATATTTTTAGTTATTGGGCATTTTTAGGCTCTTGGTGGCTTTATTGATGCTTGCTTCAGTTGCTTCATGACTTGTGGACTTCAACTCCCAGAATTCCTCAGCCAGCATGGTTGAGGAATTCTGGAAGTTGAAGTCCACAAGTCATAAAAGGGCCAAGTTTGAAGACCCCTGGACTAATGCAATAGGCTTCCAGTAAGTGCTTCCAATGCCTCTCCCTGTCATGTGCTCTTAGTCAAAACAGTAATTTTTGGATTGCTCTGGACCTCTTATGCTTTTCTCATATTTTGCTACACTATATGGCACTTTACTTACTTCCTATTTGAACCAGACCTGAATTTTAAATACTGGTGTTTGGGTTGGGTTGTTTTTTTTTTATTATTATTATTTTGAGCTTGCTGGTCTCAAGCTCTTCAATATGTGCTCTTATCCTATAATCCCAACCATCCTTTCTGTCCCTTTGTGCAAGTCTTTCTTTCTCTTTCACACTCCAATTTGTTATCTGGCATTCTGGGATAGGCCCATCATTCTAAAATCAGTTCCTACTGTTCCTTCATACAGTATCTGTGAAAGTTTGCATGCTTTCAAAAAGGACTTAAGGACCTTTTTGATTTGTGGGTTAAAGTGGAATTTGCTTATTTGACCTTACTCTTCTGCAATTCCTAGAAATAAATTAATATTGCAGTTCTTGCTGCCTTGTTCTAGTTATTGAGAAGTCATGGATGGATGGATGGACGGATGGATGGATTGGTAATAGGATAGTGTAAATATGTCTTGTTGTACAATACCAGGTAGCTGTTTAAATTCTAAATATTTGTTCAGTTGCTCATTAGATTCTGAGCACTTTTGTATTGGATGAAATGTTTATAATTACTGGATTTCCTTGATCGTACCATGCCTTAGTACAAATGCATATGATTTATTATCATTGTTATTATTACTACCACCATTCTCATGCACCATTCTCATGTTCATGTAGGAACAAAATGAGAACATCCTTTTAAAGCTAATTCCAATTATTGGTTAGAACATTTACCAATATTTCAGCTGAATCCCAAGGAGGATTATCTAGATATAAACTCCACAAATGCCATCCTACTGTATTTTTAATTAAGAGAGCTGAGGATGAATACCTTAGAACAGCTTTTCCAATCTGGTGCCTTCCCAAGATGATGCTAAAATCACTTTTGTAATTTCTTAGCAAAGGGCAAGCTGGATGTCTTACAAGATTTTTTTTAACTAATTTTACAGACAGACAGTTCACTAGAAACACATATAGCTCTTCCTTCCAATTCCTATCTAATACCCATCACGGTACTGTCTAGACTATGGGCTGGTGGGAAATATCTTTGAAGTTACATTTTCCATTGGATCATCCTGTTTGCTCGAATCATCCAAACAGACACATTCATGTTCAATTTCACATGCCTTTTTGTGGCCTCAGGTCTGACATCACTTTTTTAACCAGATTTTTAGAAAGGCCTCTGAACATGGACAACATGTATTCATTGCACAGGATTTAACAAAAGAGTGATTCTGCATACTTGGTCTTAGCATGCCTTTCACAACTATGTAGTAATAGTAGTAAAGTTGGAAGGGACCTTGGAGGTCATCTAGTCCAACTCCCTGCTCGGGCAGGAAACCCTACACCATTTCGGACAAATGGCTGTCCAGTCTCTTCTTAAAAACTTCCAGTGTTGGAGCATTTACTGTGGAAAGTTTATATGAATTGCACAGACCAGCTTTCATCCATCTGATAGCTTCTGAGTATCTTGGACAAAGCTGTGATTATCTGAAATAAGCATGCCTGGACTTGATGTAAACTATAGAAACTACATCTCAAATATGCCAGAGAAGGCTGGCATAAGCAGTCAGGTGACATTTTTTTAAACTAAAGAATGGATGGGGAAGTGGCAACTTGCTTCCGGTTCCTTCCTGATTTTAATGAGTCTCCTTCACTAGCACCCAAGCAGACTATAAACATGCACTGGTAATCTCTCTGTCTTTGTTTCTTTTATATGTTCTTCTGAAGTTGCCTTCATCTCATTCCTACTCATACTTAAGAGAGACTAAAGTTGTCCTTACATGCTTCATGATTCTATCTCTCTTATTTGACATAAAACCTGGGGAAGTGTTTCTCAATCTTGGCAACTTAAAGATGTGTGGACTTCACAAAATTTTCCAGCTAGCATGCTAGGAGCTGAAATCCACACTTCTTAAAGCCACACAAACTGTGTAGTGCATGTTAGCCATTACTGAAAATATCTTGTTAGATCAGTTGGTCCTCTTCATTACCTATGATTTAAAATGTTCAATTTCTGGATACCATTATGATACTGCCATGGAAATCATTTGACCAGGAACTTCATTCATAAGCAAAGCATCCCTCTAAGCATGTTTTAAAAAAGAACTGAATTTATATGTCTTTTCCCCTTTTTTCCCCTCAGAGCTGTAGGTAAAACTTGTCTCCTGATCAGCTACACCACCAATGCATTTCCAGGAGAATATATTCCTACTGTGTGAGTATGGAAATTGTTTAGCTTGAGGTTGTTGGATTTGAAAGAATTAGATCTACTAATATTCCTGTTTGTCAAGGAAATGCAACTTTGCTGTGTAAATAATATCAGCAATAACATAAGATTAAGTTTCCAAGAATCAAGGGCATTCAACATTGTAATATTCCTAGATGGGAATGTTAAGAAAAATAAATGAATTTGATTAAGAAATTATTTGTACCTATTCTGTCCATTTTGGGGATAAGATGACAGATCAGTCTAAATTAACTTGGTCCTCATCAAATTTCTTAGGATCACAACTTTCAGAACAGGAGCTGTCACTGCCAATATATCTAGAAAGGGTAATAGCAAAGAGATATAGCTTCACTTGGGATTGCACCCTCAATAGTTTCTAATGTACTGCTTTAATATAGAATTTGGCTCCCTACCTTATGAAAAGGATTGGTTTAGTGCCAATTTAATTATATATTATGGGGAACTATTGCTTAAGAAGGTAAAGAATTAAAATATGGTATACAAATATTATTCATCTGATTTGAAATGAGATTGTAAGCATCAGCAGTCACAAAACATCCATTTTCCTAAAGACAGCTTAGAGATGCTAGTTCCTGTGGTTTTTCCCAGCTTTCTAGAAGGGATGGGGGGGTATAAAAAACTCAAGATGGCAACCACAAAAATACAATCTGAGCCATGCTCCTTATGTGCGATACACATAAAAAAGGAGCTCAACTTTGATTGCTAAATTGTGCCCACCATCTTGACTTCTTTTGACTTCTTCCCTGTAGACACCCTTACCTTTCAGATTGTTTACTAGGACTCCAGAATATCTTTGTGTTGCACCAAGAGTCCACACATAAAGAAATTACTGAGATCTAACCATCCTCTATTTTCATAGAATGCCTTTGGGGCCTCATGCTACTCCAGAAAATGCCAGTGGGATTTACAGAATCAAAACTTCCCATTTAATGTTTACAAAATAAGGTCAAGTGACTCAAAGAGTCTGATGGTGCCAAGAGAAATATCTGTTAGCACCCTGGAGAGAACCGTGCTTTTTCTCCTGAATCAGGATTTCAGTCTAGGAAAGAATAAAATCCCTCTCCCTCTAATGTCACTATAAATCTTGATATCTGTTACAGCTTTGATAACTATTCTGCCAATGTGATGGTTGATAGCAAACCTGTAAACCTGGGATTATGGGATACAGCTGGCCAGGAAGATTATGACCGCTTGAGGCCTCTCTCCTATCCACAGACTGTGAGTCATGTATTTTCTCTGAAGCATTGTCTAATTGTTTAGGGCTATCAGATATGGACCACAAAAATCCAAAAGTTGAGGCCACCAGTAGAAGCTGCAAAGAGCCATAGTTCTCCTTATTTAGTGGACACTCATATTTATTTGTTTGATAGCCTTACTTATCTCTGAAAAGCTTTGTTCGATATTCCTTGTTAGCATACACATGGCAGCTTCTACCTAACCTTAGTTGATTACCCAAAATCAGCTATCCAGGATTCGACCTAGTTAGCATTTTGATGAGATACCATCAAAAAATCATTAGACTGTAGACTACAGTGAGGATTTTTAAAAAGGCATTCTGAAAGAAATCAATGACAATGAGATAGATCCACATCATCACCAGGAGTCAATATTACATTAATGATGTATTATCATATCTGGGCCACCAAAATCCTAATTACATTGGATGGTGGTAGTACAAAATAGTAATGTGATATAATAGTCATCACAGCCCAAAAAAACCCCATCCCAGAATGTTTAATAGTTTGACCTATCTGATCCAGGACTTTAGAGAGCCTTTCCTCTCACTTTTTAAAGAGAGAAATAAGATTCTTTAAGATTCCTGGATAAAATCCTCAAGCTTTTCTAGCTGATAGTAAGTACTGTACAATATAATATGACATATAACTCTCAGATGGGGAAGGTGATGATGACATGAAGAAAGCATCAAATCAAGATTATTCTGAGTTAATCTTGATTAGATAAACTAGCTAGTATTTTTCAGCCTGTAGGCATAGCTTTGAACTTGTTAGGGGTTAGGCTTGCCTCATCAAAAGATGGCTAAGATAATATGTTACTCTGTGTTTTTTTAATATTGCAAATATTGAGTTATTCGTGGAAAAAGTAATTCTGTCATGTCTATATAATAGATCTAGATTTTGTGTACTGCTCACACTGTCTCTTTGTTTCAAAAGTCCTTTGGTTTCAGTAAAGTATTTCCACAAGATTCAAAATTCCTTAGATGCATCTTTCAAACCAACCAAAATAACTGGGCTTTAGAAATATCCATTAACAATAACAATGGAGCCTACACAGTTGTTGTGAGAGTTGCAGAGATGTTCAGTAAAATGCTTTAAGCACCTGAGCAACAATGTATATCAATATTTGGTACATTCTGTTTCATAATGATGACATTTTTTTCCTGGCTGCACCAAACACTCACATGATTTTTTTCTCCATGTCTTTGAATTTTCTGCCTACAGGATGTGTTTCTCATCTGCTTCTCTCTGGTCAGCCCTGCATCTTATGAAAACGTTCGTGCTAAGGTGAGATTGTCCGGGCTACTGTGTGCAGAGCAAGTGACACTAGGGAAGACTCAATCTTGATATTGCAGCAGCATGAAAAATGTACAGGATAGTGACAGTAAAATATTTGGATCCTTATGTAATGTATAAATTGGATTTATGTCAAAGACTTCATTGAAAGTTTTGAATGAAGACACCTAACTTTTCCCATGATTATGTTAGATATTGTCTGGGAATTCTGATGGTTGAAGTGCAATAAATTTGAAGGATGAAGGCTGTTTTACATCAATGTAACTCTTCAGATCCATTAGAAGTTGCATCCTACTCTACAAATAGGATTCAGCAACACTAGAACATAAGGCTAGGTAGAGCTGCCCAAAGTTCCAGTTTGTCTGGATCCTCCTTGAAAGTATTTAGGGATTAGATGAGCTCTTCATTGTGAATTTATCTTTTTTATGATCAGAGCTGGGTTTGTTTTCTAATGCTATTACTTTTTCATTAAAAAAAATGTCTGGCTTTTTTAACCCCAGCTTTGTCTCCCAGAACTGCAATTATGAGATGGGCAGCTATATAAATAGACCAAAAATACTTCAGTGGATGTAACCCCAAGTTACATTTGCTAAATGTTTTATAACATTTATACTCCACCACAATCAGAATCAACTCTCTATGGTTCAGCAGCCTCATATTCATCTTGAGATCAACTGCTATTCCAAGATCTATTTCCTGGGTTTATTAAAAACATTTATGTCCCACCCAATACCTAGAGGTTTGATTTATAGTCCTTATCTAAGAAGGTTTCATTGATGCAAATGATCTGCCTGGTATTTCATTTACCAATCTCTTGTCCTGCATCACTATTTTTTTTTGTTACTTCAGTAAAATCTTGAACTTTCTTTTAGTGGTTCCCTGAAGTACGACATCACTGCCCTAGCACTCCAATGATCCTGGTGGGCACAAAGTTGGATCTCCGGGATGACAAAGATACTATTGAGAAGCTGAAGGAAAAGAAGCTGGCCCCTATTACATACCCACAAGGTCTTGCCCTAGCCAAAGAGATTGGTAAGTGTTGCTATGGGGAGGGAAAAGTTTGCTAGTTTCACTTATGCCAATTCAGTTGTGGCTACCTATTTCTCTTGAACCAATCAAATGCAGGCAGACATCCCTATCCATTCTTTAGACGAGATTGGCACTTATCTTCTAGCTCAGTGTTCTCAACCTGTGGGTCGGGACCCCATTTGGGGTCAAACGACCATTTCACGGGGGTCGCCAAACAACGCAGTCCGCCATTTTTTTCCCTTTTCCTTAGCTGTGCTACTCCCTTTTATTCTATTGGCTTTTGAAAGCCAATAGAATAGACTCTCTTGAATAGAGTCTAATTCTATTGGCTTTCAAAAGCCAATAGGAATTATCCAGGCTGTCTCTGCCCTGCTGAGCCCGCCAAAAGTCCCATTCTGCAAACAGTGCTGCAAGTTGTCTGCAGCGAAGGCGAGCTGTCTGGAAGCTTCCATCCCTCCCTGCTGAGCAACTACTAAAAATGTAAGTAAAAGAGGGCCAGAAGTGGGAGGTGGGAGGCCAACGGGCACAGGGAGGGTTGCTGGTGCATGTGGGGCCCGGCGGGTGCCTTACCTCCCTTGGGCTGGGCCAGCTGGTGGCCCAGCCAGTGGTCGGCCTGCTCCGTCTCTGCCACTTGCCAGCTACGCCTCGGCCGGTGCAGGGGGCGGCACCACGCATGCGCAGCACTCCCGGGCAGGGAAAGTCCTCGACTTATGACCGTTTGGGTAGTCCTCAACTTATAACCGGTTAGGTAGTCCTCGACTTACGACAGGTTGGGGGTCACGGCATTAAAAAGGTTGAGAACCACTGTTCTAGCTGTTCTTCTTTCCTTTGGCTTGTTTATTTTGTACTTTCTGCACTTTAGCCTTTAGTGACACTATAGAAAGTAACTCTGGTGCAATGTGAGGAAACCTGTGGAAATATAAGAGTTAGAAAGCAGCTGAGAAATTAAGAAAGGCAAATGCATGTAAATACTGAGCTCACAAACCCTTTTTTTCTTTTCTTTTGATATAACAGTGCACTTTCCCACTATTAACTTGAAGTCCTGTTCATCTCTCCTTGACTTGATAGAAAATATACAGCTGTTAAAAATTAGCATTGCCATTCCAATCTCTATCCTGCCTTTATTTCTTCTGTTCCCATCTTTTATTTGTTTATTAGATCCTGAAGGTGACCTTTGATGGTACTTATACAATGGTGTCTGTTTCTATGAAAGAGGGTTTGTCTTCTCTTCCTTAAAGGAGGCTATGATGAACCCTCTTAAGAATCCCAGCAGCATGGGATCATTTTCATCTAGCATTGAAGTAAAGATTACAATTTATTAAATCAACAGGATGATTTAAATAAGGAGAGCAATAATATTTGCTGCATGTTGGGCTAAAATAGCCACAATGTATGGTAGATAAGGAAAGAAAGTCCTTCCAAGATAACTCTTACATTAGTTGCTCCAAAGCTCCAAATAAATGTTAAGTTGAATATTTTGGTCTCCAAGAGAGGGATGCTCAAGTATTTTTTTTTTTTGTTCACATTTTAATGAGCCAACCAGTTCTGAACTGTTATGCAAATCAGAAAGCAGTTATCTCTGAAATTTCACACTTTTCCTAGTGCCGTTTCAGAAAATGCATGCATGAATGTGTATTTTGAGAATTTAGAAAGGTAAAAAAATGTGGACAAAAGTCCACTAGGAAATGTGTATCAAAACCACATTTTTCTACATTTAAAAATACAATGTATGTGGCCATGTGTTTGAAAAACCATGGGCATAAAAAAAACCCATTTGTTTATTTCTATGAATACACTAGAAAACCTATATTCATGCCTATCAAACCTTGGCAATAGAACTATGCTGGTTTGTGAACACAGGCACCAATTATCTATGTATAAGGGTTAAGGTGGCATCAGGTTTCTTGCAGAGTTAAGATTAAAATTAGGGCTTTAACTCAAAATATCAGAATGGTGATATTTTCCCCCTCCTCTTTTCAACTTTCTATATCCGGAACTTGCCTTCTGTCGCTTGAAATAGTGTTGAACCACAACTTCCTTTTCCTGTCCTGTATTCTGGGACACACCAGCAAAAGCTGAAAGTCTGCTCTCTTTCTGAAGGATCTTTACCAGGGCATATAGTCATGTTTTCTGGAAAAATAATCTATCTTTCCCTTTTTATTATCTCCCAAGGCCTAAGTAAAAGGTGAGACATAGGCAGAGTGAGAAAAGGGAAGGATACAGTATCTTAGATGGTATTTCTGGGGGGGGGGGAATCTGTTCTTTAGGGCAGCAGTTCTCTCTTGCTCTCTTGGGTAACAGATGTCCTGCTGGGTGGATTTAAGATTGGTACTCTTCAACAAACTAAAAAATTTGGCTTTTCCTATGATCTGCCCGATAATTTAGAATCCGCGTATGCAGTATCAAAAATAAAGTTTTTATTAATTGATGCTGCACAGCCATTACAGTTTTATTTTCTTGCTTATTACATCAAAGACATCTAGCTTTATCACATCAAAATGCAAGCTGTAGAGGAACAGCAAGCAAAATTTTTGTGCTCTTGTATTCCTTATGGATGCCTGTAGCCATCTGATTGGCTAAGAGATAAAGCATCTGCTTAACATGCAGAATGTCCTTGTTTAGTGTTTGGTCTCACAATTAGTGATGATCAATATTTCAGCTTGAAACCCTGGGCAACCAATTATTGTCAGTGCAAACAATATTGAGGTAGTTTCTTGAATGGTTAGACCAGTGATGGTGAACCTTTTAGAGACCGAGTGCCCCAAAACTGCTCTGCCGCCTACCACCTCCATGACCCATCACAGCAGTTCACCCAGGTGGCCCTGCAGCATCATGGCAGCTACACCCTCCACAGCATCATCTGTGCATGATGTCCCTGCTGCCTGGCTGCCATGTCCTTGGCTGTGCTGCTCTGCGCACACCTGGGGGCAATTCTCCGGGGGAGCTCCTGGTGAGGAGGGGGTATGCGTACCCACAGAGAGGTCTCTGGGTGCCACCTCTGGCACGCATGCCATAGGTTTGCCACCACTGGGTTAGACTCTACATAAGGCATCTTCCTGTGGCAAGGTTTTGGTATGATTATGTTAGTCTTTTCTTATATTCTTACATTCCTAAGTAGTTCTGCTATCCATAGAGATGCCGAACTTGATATTGGGACAAGTGAGGGAATTTTTTTTCATTTCTTCCTCAGACATTTTTTCTCTTTGCAGATGCAGTAAAGTACCTTGAATGTTCAGCACTCACCCAGCGTGGCCTGAAAACAGTGTTTGATGAGGCCATTCGAGCAGTTCTCTGTCCACAACCTACAAAGACAAAGAAAAGGAGGTGCAATATCCTTTAGGGGTAAATATCAAAAACCTGCCTACCATGGGACTTTAAAATATTAGAAAGTTTATCATGTGCTACTGTTGTGATTTTAACAGGAAATATATATTTAAAAAATCAGAATACTCATTGCACACATAATCCACACATCAGCTTTGCCACATGGAACTCTGCAGATGAGTTGCATTACAATTCATTGTGCTATTCTTACCATCTTTGATCAAGGATTGTCAGTGAAGCAGTGGATGGTAGTTGACAAACAAAGATGTATCACTGGGTACACACACCTTTTCAAAATTCTCTGTTTGATTTATTCACAGTAAAGTTGATTCAGAAGATTTTTCCAAACCTCTCCAGGGGAGAGGAAACAACTCTGTAAACATCCTCTTAGTAATCACAGTCACGCTGCAATTGCAAAAGTCCCAGTGAAGAAATTGTCTTGTGATAAATTTCCCCAGGATTTAAATGAAACATGGAATATCAGAGAAGCTGCAACCCATTGGAAAGATGTTTGTATAATAAACAACAAGATATTTATATATGGGCATGCATCCACACTGTCTACCCTTTCATTATATAAATGTAAAAATATTGTGGGAGATTATAGGTATATTTTATGTATAGTGGTTGGTCTAAGCTTTAATGAAACTTACGTTATATTGTGGCCACAAAAGTGTCTCTAAATCTTCTTCTTTGTTCAAAGTTTCCAAAGTCAGTACTTTTTTTATTAAATCAAATGGAACCAATTGGAGAAAAAGTGCAGGAACATTTCTCTGGTTAGCAGTATGAAAGTGTGTAGAACAAAATGTTTTTGGCAAGAGCAGAATGTATATTTGTGCTTAAGAACAAGAATAGCAGAGAGTGTGATATATGTAGGTAGTCTGGAGCACAACCCAACACACTGGCATTGGGGGATGGGATAGATTGGAGCCTTTTCTCTTAGTTCATCCCTCTCATTGATCTATTTGATAGAAATATGAAGAAATTCTACAGCACACTAAAATTTTTCCCATGCTTACTTTTCATAATTATTTTACCAAATGCCAATGCATCGGTAAAGGTCATGACCACCAGCTCTATACAAGAAAAATGTTTTCATGTCAAATGTTTTCATGCATATGGCACTGGGTTTGGGATCCAGCTGTTCCAACTTTTCCATGGGTTTTCCCACTGACTCTCCCACCCTCAAATCCCACTCACCTACTTCCCCTTGGCTAGTATTTTAAGGTGTTTTTTTTTTTTTTTTTAGTATACTGCTACCTTATTGTATTGTTCTGGACTTTTTATATTAGCTATATCAAACCCTTAAAACTATTTTTGTACTTCTGCAAACCCTGAGATTTTTCCAAGCCTGATGACAACACTTGTCCTCTTCAGGCAAGTCTTTAGTGAACAGCAGGATATTCACTTTCCTATTCACCCTCAACAACTAATGAAGTCACCCAAGTGGTTTTATGGGGCTCAAACTATAGAGGGTAAGGTTTCTCAGCAACAATACCACAACTTTGTGATTCAGTTGTATAAAAAGCCAGTCCTTGCTGGATTTCTGGGCTGGTATTTGTAGTAGCACAGTAAATTTTTGCCAAAGGAAGAGGGTTCATCTTTGCACTTTGTCTTTTTCAAAACAACAGACTAGTTCTATGATCCAACTGGGCTGTGGAAGTGAGCCTAAGTCTGCCAGTTTCTCTCCTGCCCTAAAGGAAATTTGGATTTTAATGGCTGCCTGCAACTATCTACTGCTTCATAAAGGGTGGAGAATGCAATTCTTTACATCAGTTTTCCCCAAATTGTTTAATCCACCCCCAATGCCCTATCCATCATAACCTTAGCTAAGAACTCTAGGTGTTGAAGTCCACATATGTGAAGGAGCCCTGGGGTGCAGAAGATTGTTATGTAGCTAACAGACTAGAGTAACACAATTTCTCTCCCTCCCTCTCTCTTTCTGTCTCTCTGATATAGAATCTGGATTCTGGCCCTTCAGCCCACAGACCTTTGAAGAGGGGAATGAAGAAAGAGAATTTTAGAGGCTGCTGGATTTTTAATCTTGTTTCACTATGAATAGCCCACAACTAGCTATTTGTTAAAAAAAATCTGAATGTATGCATTACTTTATTCTTAATAAGATGCATTACAGTATAAATTCCTTTCTCTCTCTCTCTTTCTCTAGACCTAATTTGTGGCTACTGCTTAAAAAAATAAAATGCAGTCATGGCAATATATTCATTAGTAACGGGGAACATACTATGAAAACTTTTCAAAAGGGCTTTGTTTTGCGCATACATTCTTTGCAGGTTCAAACAGTTAATGTCTCCAGTTGATCTGGGCTAGTGGTTTTTTAATCAATAATTTTCATTTTCCTCCTGAATAGATTTCCTAAATTTCCCCAGCGCTAGTACGAGTGTGTGTATGGGGAGTACATATTAACTATTGATTTTCTCCTCATTTTTTTCTTTTTTTCTTATTTCTTTTTGACTGGTAAACTAGTGCTATAAATGAACTCTTCCCATATTATACAAAGCAAAGAAATATGTATAATGTCAGGAATTGTTTTAGTTCCCAATGAGAAATCAAAATGGCAGTAAGGTAATTGAAGGCTTATACTCAGTATTATCCCCATGCTTTATTAACATGTATACGCCACAAAAGACATTGCTTTTGAATAAGTACTTTGGAATATTGGAAAAGACTTTGCTAAGTAAGGTGCCAGGTAATACAGTAATGTATAATGTGCTGTATGATCCTTCATGTTTTTAAAAATATTCTTGTACTGAAAAAAATGATGCTTCCTCGATACTAAAGAGCTTTAGCATGGGAGCACCCTTATTTAAGTTATTCTCCTACATTACCTGCCTGCTCCTATTACTGATCACTGCATTCTAAATGAGATGCAATTAAAATATAATCATAAACCATCTATTCCTATTACCCATAACTTGTATGGGTGCTAATACAGATATACATTTTCAGAGGTAGGTTGCTGAGATGCTAGCTGTTCTGCTACTTATTGACCAATCGATCTCATTTGGCAATATTATGAGCACACAACTGATGACGTTTATTCCTCATAAATACTAAATGAGAATTTAGACTGGATGTCATTACTGAGAAATAATGTGCCCTTGGTAGATATTACGTTGATTAGACGGCATGATCCCAATTTTTAGTGCATAAGACTTCATAGTCACAGGTCCATAATTTCATTATGGGGTTTCCCATTCTGTATTGTTCCTGTAGCCCTTTTGAGAGGTAACCTGGACATTTAATTGTTTTGGTGCTACATTTTGTTTTACCAGTAGGTCTTCTGGTAGGGCTGGTTGTTTGCCTTTTACTTACTTGCCCAGTGTCTGTTACCCTCAACCCAAACACTCCAAATTGCTTCACTCTCTTCTGTCTTACAGGAAGCTTTTTAATGAGGCTCTGAGCTAAGCCAGGGTGCCTACATGCTGGTAGTGTTACATCAATTCTAATTTAGAATTGCAAATATTTGTTCATGGCAGACGTTGCGTGGCAAAAACAATGTGACTCTTGACAATATATAATTACATGGCAACCTACTAGATGCGCAAGAACCACATGAACATGCCAAAATGAGTGATGTGATTAAGCCTACATTGGATATACCTTTGTGGATTAACAAATGGATACAGCTCCATACTGTGAAGGTATAGGTTGGCTGGGTTTTCATCTATGCCAAAGATCTTGCCATTTTTTCACAGTTGCCTTTTAAGGAAGAGTCCAGTTCATTAAAAACATTTATTAAAGATACGAAATATCTCTCTTCTAATTCTAGACCATCACGCTGGTCAAATCTGATTGGGATGACTTTGGATCAACAGGGACTGCATCGCTTTTTTTCTAAAATCTCAAAATCGTCCAACTGGAACCAGCTATGAAAGATGATGCATTAGAGCCTGCTGGCTGGGGAATTCTGGGGAATTGAGATCCACTCATTTTAAGTTGCCATGGTTGCAAAATGCTGGCTTAGAGGACAGACAATTACCTACTATAAGCTATGAGCTATACAATTGTATTATTGGCATATTCAAGCACAAATCAACAATTGTCTAATTACAGTCTGAACGAGGAGGTGGAAGAAAATTGCTGCTATTGTTAAATGATTCTTAAACAATTAGGAATTTCAAGCCATCCAATGAGCTACTAGCAAATCCTAATTTAACTTTACTTTACCCCTGATACTAAGAAATGCATTTCAGCCATTCTAAATAGTATTTAAGAACTATAAATCTGTCTTTCTGACATAAAACATATCAGGAACAAAATTAGGCTCACTGAGAAGCCTGTGGTCTCAACTTCCTTATTCACAGTAAGAATTCCTGACCTGCTTACGCTGTGTGTGACAAATAAATGGCATGTATGTGTGAGTGGGATGGTTGGTAAGAATCATTTCTGCAGGAAGGCAACATTATTCTTTGTTTCTTATATGCCAGGCTGTTTTGTATCAGTGTACCCGCAGCTTTTTGCTATCCACAGAATGGTGCCAATGAGCATAAATGACTATATGTTATACAAGCCAGTGGTTTTCACAATCAGAAAGTCTGCATTATTAGGGACTTTCTTAATTTAGAGTGAGGCCCATGCCTTTGTGGCACTTTCCTCCTGCTGGAGTGCTTCTGGCCACCTACAAAGAATGGCACAGATCTCTGCTTCTATTCCAATCTCTCTGCTTGCACTAATCTGCAGGCAAGCAGCAGAGACAGAAAATGAATGCTGGAAGGAGCAAGGAGGCAATAGAATGAGTCACCGATGAAGACTAATAGCCTACGGGTTGCTAAAATAAAACTGATGACAGCTATCCTTATGGTGCAGTAGAATTGGCAGCTGTGGGAACCTGTATTACTGGATGATGCTAAGGATCAGGAAAGGGGCATGGCTTTAAATGATGATCAGTAAGATATATTCTTGAACAACTTCCCAAAGGTGCCATTTTCTCATAGTTTTGTTGCTACACATTTTATTAGCTGAAACAAAGTTCAGAGCAACAGATACAATCAAGAAGACCCTCACCCAGATAAACGAACACAGAGGAATGGAAGAATCCCCTTCTTACTCACAAAAACATAGCAGAAAATTATACCTATAAGGCATTTTATAGATTAATTGCTGCAATTCACTTAATGTCAATTCTTCTTCAGTACCAGTTGGATGTGATACCTAGTCTACTGTGCCAAATAAAATGTTTGATATGGCTATGTTCTTTTTTCATGTGAATTAGATGAGACATTTACTGTAATTCAGTGGTCAATTACAGGTTTGCATGCAAAAAAATCACTTGTGTTCACTTATCAAATTACATGTTTTGCATGCAAAAAAATCACCCCAGGATCTCCAGCAAAAGACGGGAATGCCCCCTGCCTGAAAATTTGGAGACTGCTGCTCAGATGGGACCCATACTGTATCCTCTTCTTGAAAAGCTGGATATAAACCAAATATTCACAAAACGTAATAATGTTGGATTCAGACATCATGTCAGCTATGCATTACGTAAGTACAATTTTATAAAGAAGCCACAATTAGTTTATGCTCCAAGGAGCATTCTCATCCTGTACCATTGTTAAAGAGTTTATCCTTGAGAGAACTTGGTGAAGAAAAGGAAAAGAGAAGACATTAGGTACGCAGCCCTTTCTCTCCAAGACCTCCTGCCAGATTGGGGCGAAGACTCCCACCTGTGTTTGATGGGGAGTTATGAGTTGTTCTATTCCCTTTCCTTTACTCACAACTGGGATCTGGGTTATAAAGATGATGAAATGCTTTTATGTGGATTCAAACAAAGATGACTAAAAGACCCTATGGATCTCTCTCATCTCAGTAAATGGGACTCAAGAATGCTGGAGAGACAACTGGACAAAATCACTGTATGCTTTGGAATTTCCAAGGTCTTTTCCTGTGGTAAAACAGTTAAAAAGAAAAAATATATTATTAAGGCATACAATTTTAGATGGTTTGGGGGAATAGACTCTGGTTGTAGAGATTCCAATATGCTTCTCTCAAGATTTATAGAAGGAAATGACCACATAATTGTTTTCCCCAGCATACACCATTTTGGGATATGTATTTAAAATTATTTGCATTCTTTTTTAAATATCTATCTGTCCGTCTGTCTGTCTATCTAGCTATCTAGCTATCATCTATCTATATCTAGCTATCTATCTCTATCTCTATCTATCTATCTTCTATATCTGTTGCTACATGAAAAGTACAATACGTTCAGAAGAAAATGAAAAGACAGCTCTAACAGTTTCCTTTTTCTTCATATTCTATCTTTAAATGGAGCAGAAAACAACATAATCTCAAATTTATTAAAATAGGAGAAAGAGTAGTGGCAAGGTATAGCTATCAAACATTAATGCTATCTTAATGGACACCAGAAACAATACAAAGTTAAGTTCTATTCCACATTCATGTGGAATAGTTTCTACAGTTGGTCCTCTGAACCTTGTGGCTTAGTCAGGAACACAGACTACAGTATAATCACAGAAAACAAACTCCCTTGAGTAAAGCAGAAAAAGGTGGGCTGTAAGCAGGAGATGAAGGACAAATCCAGGAGCTGGAAAGAAACAAAGACAGATAGGCAGAAGCAAAAAAAGGTGGGTGTTGTTGATCTCTAGATAAATGCCAAGGCAGATTCTCTGAAAACACACATTCACACTCACACACAAATCATGTAGAGACAGAAGAAAATAGCTGACATGTTCTGTTCTTTTTTAATGGCACACTTTGGTTGCTCTGATTTTATAGGAAATCCTTCACTTAAATAATAATATATTTAATAATGTATTTACTTATTTCAAAGGTGGAACAGAGAATAAATATTCTATGCACCCCTTCACATTCTCCCCTTCTGTGCTTTACAAATATCATCTCCTTGATATTTTGGGGCAAGGGGAATCATATTAAGTTTCTTGGTAAAGATGATTCTTTAAAAAAGTGAACATGCCTAGAATTTCATATTTAAGGATTATATCATTATCATAACAACAGTCTATCGAAAATCTCCCTTCTACATATTCATGAGGATTAAATCCTACAGTAAAGTGGATTGGGAGTAGAGGAGCATTATCTATTATCAAATGATTAGGATAGGGCTATATTTTAGTTTTCTAAAAATAAGTTGCAATTCTTCCACATCTTTGTCTCCCCTGCCTCTGAAATTAGAAGTAATCAGGACAAAACTGCATACCTAGGGACTCTTATACTGTTA